GTACATTTAAAAAAAAAAGTGTTTTGTCTACATTAGTTGGCATAAACAGTAGAATTTTAGTATTAGCCTAGTTTTTATTTTAATATTTTTTGTTTTAATTTTATCTACATTTTTAGTAATTCTGTAGTTTTTGTCATCTTTAGTGTGTGTGTGTGTGTGTGTATATATATATATCTTAAATGCTTTCTCGTATTCAGATTTAATATGCAAACAAGACATGCATAGCTTGATTCCCACGAAAATGGTACATAGAAAACTACACAGCAACAACCAGTGGTGTGAGTTTGGGGCAGATCTATGTTTTTTGACCGACCAATGGTAGACAGGAGGATACCTGTTTGATAACAGTCATTATTTGTGTGATTCCATTTAGCAGAAATGATGCACTTCATCTTTAAGTGCGCAATAAAGTGACGCTGGTACATTATTCAGGGTTTTTCAGAGCTTTTAGCATCAGCATAACAACAGAAGCCTGCGTAACGACATCGGCCACCGTCTGACTTTTCGATCACATCTGAGCCTTTCCGAAGGGCTGCGAAGAGATGGAGCGGCTCTTCAATTCCAACTCCGCTCTCGTCTCAGCTTTCAAGCTGCTCAGCTAATTCCTTCACTAAGCTGCACCTACCCTGAGGAGGCACTGAAGTATTCAATACTCAGTCAATCCATTAGGAACTGAAGCAGCTGCCTCAGCTCCAGTCGAGAAGAGATTCAATTTCCATGGAGCTGAAGAGAAGCCCGAAACCTCTGAATGAATACAATAACAAATTCCATGAAATTAATAATTAAAGACAGAGAAAGACTGCGGGGACCAGGGTGAGTCGATAGGAAGAATAAAACCATATCCCCGTTTCAGATATACACAGAAGCCTGCAGCCCTTAGAAAAACCTGAACGGGGAAAAGAAAACCCTATTTGAAAGCCTTGTGGCATTTTCTGTTCCTAGGGCCTCCCTTCATCTCTATCCGTGCTGTTCCTCTCATCGCCTGTTTGAAATTCAACCTTAAATATAAGAGTTTAGACTCTAATGTGTTATTTACCTGTCTGACTGTCAGTTATGGGGCCTGTGTTAACTAAAACTTAACTTGTTTTTCTGTCAGATTCACTATATTTAAAATTTTTATTTTTCAAGGCAGGAAGGAAGGAAGGAAGGAAGGAAGGAAGGAAATATGATATACGTGACTTTTTTTTTTTAAAGAGACCGTTTTAGATTAATAAATTTACAGTGGGTAAAACAGGAGAATAGGAAGGTAAGCCACAACCTATTTATAACAGGCTGTTCCAGATCAATTACAGGCAAGTTCCAAACGGAATATGCCTGTGTTCAAATGAGAAGGTGAAAAAACCCCACCACAGCGCCATGATCCTGGTACAAAAGCTCGTTGTCTCGGTCTCTGCTCTCCAGGGTCTAGACACACAGGAACATTTTCTTCAGATGGGAAAGGGGCTTGTTACCCCGCCAGTACCAGCAACAATGTGGGTGTCTCTCTCACACAGAGGATAGAGTTCCTAAATGTGAGCAGTAAAAGGACAAGCAGCCATAGGAGCACAGAGCCAATTAAAGCTGACAATAGAACAATACGGGAAGCCTCAAACTGCTCCAAATAGGTATAGGCCTCCAATTTAAACCCCTTGCTTTTGGTGAAATCAGTGTCATCTTTGTCAAGCAGAAGTTGGAGAAGAAATATGAGAAGCTTTGTATTATCGTTCAAACTGAGAGGAATCTGATTGGTTGCAACACATCAAGTTGAATAATTAGAACTGAGGCTACATCCTTCAAGAGTTTTATTTTTGGGCCATGAATGATTGTATTTACAAAATGCAAACACAATCTTGTGATTAGCAGCAGGAAATCAGGAGGATTTGTTGGCAGCATGTCAATTTAAGAATCGAGTTGGAAGTTAATTGGTGTTGATCATAATCAATTGTTGTTGGCAGTGTGAATGCTGAAATGTGTGAACAGAAGTAGTGTGGATAAAAACAACTCGTTTACTTGGTTTTCTTCAGAACACAGATTTGCTCAGAGATCATGTTGCGCCTAAATTAATCACAAGAGAGAGACTGAAAGGTACAGTAACTATACAGTAGCAATGGTAATGAAGGTCTTAATGAATTAACATGAATTATGCCTTTCCTCAGTATGGAATTGATACCTGGGTTTTCATTATGAAAATTAAGGTAAATCTTTTTTTGAAGACACAAATCAACATCACATTAATTAGCTAAATACACTACCATTCAAAATATTATTTTTTTAAAAATTTTAATTTTTTAATGATATTAGCTTTTTAAATGTTTTTGAAAGAAGTCTCTTATGCCCACTAAGGTTGGATTTATTTGATCAAACATAAAACACCAATGTAGCGCCCCCCTGCCCTCTCAAGAGTTACGGCTCTCAAGTTCTGTTTAGGGTGGAGTACCGGGTTCTGGTGATATGTCTCTCAACTAGTTATATAAACTATTACACACCTCTGGTATTACTACTATTTACAAGCTAAGCCTACAGGTAAGTATGGTGAATCCAGGTAAATACACCCAGGGGCCTGTACCATGAAGCCGGATTAGTTGGCTAGCCAGGTAAGTTTCAGTTTAGTTTGCACCAATCCTGGGTTTTAGGTACCATGAAAGTGGCTTGGCTTTTAGCAACGTTCATTGCCATAGTAACTTACACACCACGGCTAACCTGCTTGGGGGCAGGTTATGTTCTGAGTTAGAGATCTCAAACTGAAATCGGACCAATCAGATGTCTGACACAAAAAAGTCACTCCCCCAGTTTAACTTGCTCCAAATTAAAGGTCACTAGTACTAAAAAAATGTCTGGCTTTAATGATAATTACTTAGTTATTTTATATGATTTATATAATTATATGATTTATATTATTCCATTACACACAAGCAATTTTAGTTTAACAGTTATTATAAATCATTTATTTTAAATGAATGTTAATATATACAGATCGTATGTAATATAAATAAGCTGTAGAATCAATAGATAATGCTTTAAAAATGACTACGTGACCTTACATGTTCGAGTCTCTATCGCTGTATAACAAGTTTCACTTGTGACTGCACTGATAAAGCAAGATATTTTCTTTTATTTGTCCTCTTTCATGAACAAGTACTTTTTTCATTGTAAATGCATTTAAATTCATCATATTCTCCAATCTCTTAACCTTTAGCAAAACCATTAACCTTTAACCAAGGCTCGTTATTGGCTGTTCGCCAGTGATGTCACACATTCATGTGCACCTGCTCCACAAACTCAGGATTAAAGCCTGAGTTGACAAAGAAAGTTGATGATCAGCATCATGGTACCAACAAAGCCGGATTGGAGTGGTTTGCTTTTGTCAACTCGGAACTAATCCTGTAACTCTGAATTTGTTCATTTACCATCATGGTACAGGCCTCAGGTAAGTATGGGTAAGAATAAAAACTATAATGTTTTATTATCAAAATAAATAAGTGAATAAATAAATAGTCAAATCTCAATAAACATATAAATGTCAATAAATAGACATTGTAACAACTGGCTTCCCGTCCGAATGTAAACAATGCCGCGTTTGAGACACTTAGTCTAAACTCTATTAAAATACTCCAATTTTAGACAGCGAACTACACCAGAAACGCCGTCTAAACACTGACAGATGAATTCTTGCTGAAAACACCTACTTTATAACAAAATAGCAAGTTTAAGACACTGTAACAATCGCGGATCAAACGAAACTCGAGTCTTCTCTCTCTCTTCTCCCCCTCCCATTCAACGGTTCTCCCCTTAAAAGGATCTTAATCCACCAATCAGAATCCACCAAGGGGGTGGGACCATTACATTTACAAAAAGATCAAAACGAATGATTTTGCTTACCCATATTTGCACACTGAAGGTTATAGGTGACCACTCTTAAAAATAAACACAGTAACGAACTTAAACGTGAATGTCTACAATCAAAACACACAGGGATTAATCACACTAGAAATAATGCAAAGGCTTAATTTAACCAGGGTTACACTAATAATGTGAAATATTATTACAGTTTAAATCATCTGTTGTAAATCATCACGTGATCCTTCAGAAATCATTCTAATATGCTGATTTGGTGCTCAAGAAACATTTATGATTATTAGCAATGTTGAAAACAGTTGTGCTGCTTAATATTTTTGAGGAAACAGGATTCTTTGATGAAACATTTATTTGAAATAGAAATATTTTGTAAAGCTACAAATGTCTCAGCTGTCACTTTTGATCAATTTAATGCATCCTTGCTGAATAAAAGCATTAATTTCTTCACGAAAAGTAGTGTAAATTATCATATTAGCCAATGGTTGAATGGCAGGATGTATTCTAGCTTGTAAAAATATGTTGAGTTAGGCATTAGTAAAACCAGAAAATGACAACTCAATGAAATGAGAAGGAAGCAATCATGCACTGCAGATCGAAAAAATGTGCCAAACTTTAGAAGCTTGATTTGAAGTTGTGCGCGTGTCCTCTTTTAGAGCATGTTGATTTATTCATGTATGTTCTGCACCAGGCCCGGGGCTTGCAGGGAAAAGAGGCCACTGTCCGCCCTTCCTCCCATCCTGAGCCCCGCACAAACCCCAAAAACACACTCTCGCCGGAGAGCTGACAGTCATGTGCCCGTCTCAGTGGATCTCTCCAGATGCACGTCACAAGGATCAAAGGCTGGCCCTTGTCACCGCCACGTGGCTCTTGACAGTCGTCACACAGAAGAATAATTCAGGGGACGAAGCCCACCGGGGAAAAGGGCATCGGCGCACATGTGTGATTCTTTTCACTCTCCTTCCCACCTGCGTTTGCCCCAGGCACAGAGGCTTACAAAAACTCACCTCCCCTTCCAGCTCACATGATAAATATGAGAGGTTTGAAAACCCCGATCAGGGAGTGACAAACAGGATTACATGCTGTTTGCACCTGGTTGTCATAATTAGAGCACTGATGACAGGGGAGGAGTTAATTGAGATGAAGATCACACCGAGGCGGGTGCGATGCGCACGCGGCTCTGCATGAACGCTCAACGGCTGTTTAGAGTGATAATTACTCCCTCGGTCACCTTAAACAGCATTAACATGCTTTTCGACAGTTAAGGCCTGAAACGCAATCTACACAAGGACGTGAGACAGGTACGTGAGCTCGAATTTGTGACTTGTTGAGATCTGGAACATGTCAGACCACCACAAGGGGTGCTATAGTATAAATAAGAAAGAATTAATGAGTGTGAAAGTGTCTGTCCCAATATCCACACTTGCTGTTTTTGCACTTGACTACTTACAAGGAGCGTTCTGTCTAAATAAGCTGGGAATGCTCTGCATACTCATCATTTGAGAGAATGAGTTCAGGGACTGGCTAAATATTAACATTACTTCTAATTCCCTTGTCATTTAAGGTGTAACATAAGGCTTACATGATCAAATGTTGGGAATACCTATGTAACTGTCCATAAATAATTTATTTGCCACATGACATTCATTTTCTGCCAATCTGTGCCAGTTACAGAGGGATTCATGTGAATGGATCCAGAACGGCTTTGGTGCCTGTGCTCTATTGCTATGAATCACCATTACTGTTGCGGTTTCTCATCATTGGTTTATTGGCATGAGGTTGGTTTCATGAGCAAGAATAGATGTCTGTGAATTTCTTGCCCAAGCGTAAAATTGTGCTGTTGCTGCCAGATTTTGATTACCGAAAATCATATTGTATTTGATGCAAATCCAGCGTAACTAAATCAAATGAAAAAAGTCGTAACTGTATATTTTTGTTTTATTAAGCCAAATGTAATTTTGAAGGTCTGCCGAAAACATATCTTCTTACATTTTTGCTATAGACAAAAGGGCCTGTTTACACCTGGTCACTTAATGCATTTTCTCTGATCGGATAGCTATCCGATCGTGAAAAGACCAGGTGTAAAGCCTTCTACACGCTGCACGATTTTAGCAATCCTATAAGATCATTGCAGATCACACTGTGCGACGTGCGTCTAATATACTTGGTTACGACATGCTAGCTACTATAGAAGAATAAAACGTCATCAGCATGTGCTAGTGGTAAACAAAAAGAGCATGAAACACACTTTAGCAGTTGGAAGTTTTCATGTGTGCTGAAAAAAAGTGTAAGCGGTGAAAGAGGAAGGCATAAGAGCTTGAGGTAAGCAGTTTTATGTTTTGGTGCCATGTCTTGATTTCATATTGCATTTTTATTGGCTGGTCAGTAAACGTGGATCGTAGCAGCAAACACTCTGTGCAATGATCATGCTGAATTTCTGACACAGTCAGAAAATGATCGTAGGCTGTCTTTGGTCGCAAGACCATGACAACAGCCGCCTTTGAACTTCTCTCACTGTATGACACAGGACCACCGATTAGGAGCCACGATCACAGAAATCACCGCGATTGTTTCATGATGCCAGTCTTTCGTCTGGGACAGCCGAAAATCGTGCGGTGTGTTTTGGGCTTAACTCTCTGGGCCTCTTCGTTTGGGAGTCACACTTGGCTTCTTCACGGTCAAAAGTGACCGAAGCCTCAAAAAGTAACTCTTTTTTTTTTTTCCAGGAAAATCAATGTAATACATTTTTGTTCAATAATATTTTTCGATTCTTATTTATATTTTTGAGGGATGTTTATGATACTATGCAATATTTATAACATTTTAATGAACTATTTTTTCCATTAGAATTAATATATATTTTTATTTCTTCATTTCTGTATTTTTTTTTTAATAGATACAATATTTCACATTAAAATAGAGTGAAGGCATTTAAAATCAATTTTTTTAAGTGAGAGTTGTGCCATCTGGAGGCGTAAAAAAAACCCGTAATGTAGCATAACCTCCTGTATAGCTCCCTATATCAATATATACAGAAGCTTTTGGATTCCCGTTGTTTTTTAGACATCATTTCTTTATTTAATCAGGTTTTGCATTTAGATATATATTTAGACATTCTAAAAGACTACGTTTTGTCAAGGTTTAGATATTTTTGGTTAGATAAGTATCAGGTTCTGTGTGTGTGTGTGTGTGTGCGTGCGCACGTGTGGGTGTCTTATTTTGCACTCTTGATTTTAGTGTCACCCCTTGATTGCTGCACACTTTTTTTTCTGCACAGTGGCTGATTTGTAGTTTGTACCACCAAAAGATTAACTGAGTTTTCATATTTTTTTGTATTTCCCATTCATTTCCTATGTCGGTCATTTTTGAGCGCAAAGGAGCCAAGTGTGACCTTTTTTTATTTATTTTTTGACCCTTTAACATATCCGAATCATGTCCATGATTTTTTGGTGTGTTCACATAGCTGATGCAACAAAAGTCACCACGATTTTTACAGTTTCAAAACATAAAATTTTTCGGCCAAAAATGAACGAAGAGGCCCAGAGGGAAACGGTTTCAAGATGGATTTAATCCGATCGCTCAAACCACTTCAGGAGGTGGTCTCTGGGCCGCATTCCCTACGAAACTGGACAAGTGGAAATGCATCTGGTTGTTGAAACTACATATGTAAATTTTACTCCTCCCAAAATGTTAAAATAATAAATGTGCAAGACCGTGTTATAGGCTGTATGACATGACATATAGCCAGATATGACAGCGCTAATGCAACAAACATCGCCGCGGATGAGTAGCTGAGTATCTCCTCTGCAAGCCGATGCACAAACTGCCACAAATGAAACTGGAAGTAAGTCGCAGACGCTCAACTCACAATCGTCTTGATTAAAAGTAGTAAGTAGGGTTGGGTATCGTTTTAATTTGATCAATTCTGATTCCGATTCTGCTTATCGATTCCGATTCTTTTCGATTCCAATGTGATTTAATAATGATATCAAACATTTATCCTGTGTCTCTTTTTTGCAAACCATTTATTGTAGCTGAATACCATGAACAAAAATCAACAGGCTACATAAAAACTGGACTCTTTAAGAGCTGTTTGTGTGCAAAATAGAACTGCATGTTTCTGGATAAATTGAGTTCTTCCCCCCTTTTTTTCCCCAATGGAAGTTGTGGTTCTCTAATGATTCTGAAGAAAAAAATTTAGACAATTAAACAATCACATGTAATTTATGAATGAATGATTCAATGACCCACTCAAGATGTACTCGTTTCATTACTGGATGAATCAGCGTTCTTGAACGAATCTCTTGTATGATTCAAAGACAAATACATTTTAACAGCCCCTTTTCGCCACCTACTGGTGTAACAATGTAATCGATAAATCTTCATTTGAAGTGTCAAATTGCTTTCAAAAGGTGATTTACTCCATTTTAATCGCTACCGTACACATCAGAGTTTATATCTGAACTATAAACTTTTATCCCAGTACTTCTGTGATTTGAATGTTTCTAACTGTGTAATGTTTGAAATATTGATACTGTCCGGTTGAAAAGACTGTGAAGCTGTTTCATTTATGACAGATGAGAGCTGATCTCTTTAGGTCAACGGCAGTGCGAACGCAAATTTAAATGTTCAAATCACACTGTTGTGATAGTACCAAAGACTATAGAATACCCAAGACGTGTCACTTCTATTGTTTTGAATGGGGAAAAATCAGCAATCAGCAGGGTTGCCAGGTTTTCACAAGAAAACCCGCCCAATCGCTACTCAAAACTAGCCCAATCGCGTTTCGATGGGCTCTCCAGTTAAAAATTCTGCATTCTGGGGGGTAAAATACAAGTTTTTTTGGCGAGGTTCCCCTGCTAAAATTCGCATTCCAGGGGATAAATATCATGTTATTGGAGTCGCTTCAACCCGCGGCAGGGGCGGATCTACCGGGGTGGCACGGTGTGGCAACTTCCACCCTAAGAAAAAGCTGTGCCACCCCAGAATTATCACAGAATAAAATATAAATGTAAGCAGTGTTTCATGTGCTAGTTTTCAGCCGCGGCGATGACAGAGTAACGCAAAAATAATGGCAAAAACACGTCTTTTAATAAACTGTGCATGATGGTTGCACGCGCACGCAGCGTGCCAGTGTAGTCGGCTATATTAACAAATGACTCTTATGAACCAGATTTTTAAAAAATCAAAACCACAAAGCGTGGCCCAGTTCACTTACGAATTGTTTTTACATTTGTTTGTGAATCAGATAACTACTGCTCCGGATATGTCTGAGATTCATCGCGTAATTGTTTGGTGATCCGATTCTCCGACCGCTCGCTCCACAGCCGTAACAATAACATGAAATCAATAAGAAGATGCCGATCAAGGAAACTAATAGCAGAGCTAGGTAAGAATCTAGTCGTATTGCAGTTTTCTCGATTGTTAATATAACTTATTTTAGTTGGCACTTTTTCCCCCCCAAACCATTAATTCAATTTTCAAAACAAAGACACATTTCTCAAAAAGTTTAACAATGAGTAAGTTAAACATTAGGTAGCAAAACTGATGACACACCAATCAGAATCTCTGCATCCTAACAACGGAGAGAGGAGAGATCTGAGCCAATCATCTACAGGGGTTTTATACTTACACATATATACTTACAGTATAGGCCTAATTACAGTACAGTACCAGTACATTAGATAATAGAAATTTCACTATTCTATATGTACAGTAAACTAGCACGTGTTGTACACCTTCAAGTGTGTGACTGTCAAATTTTATTTGTAACCATTTTTTGTGTACTTCCTTTTTGCAGAACTGAGAAATGACTGCCTAGATATATAGCTTGTCTTGTGTCAGGAGACCAAGAATCTGCTATAGTACTGTATAGTGTATACTGTAATGAAATTTGGCCAAATGTGCAGATGATGCTAAATTAAAAAAAAAAAAATTTTTTTTTTTTACTGTACTGTATTGTGGTGCATGCCAAGTTCATAGAATTCTTTGGTATTTTAACTTTTCTAGTGCTTTTCATCTACTGCAAGATTACTTTACAGTAGTAAAATGACAATGATTTTCCCCAAAAGTTCATTGCTGAATTATACGTCTGTATCTGTAATTTAATTTATGTATACTGTAATAGACATTGAGCTGCAAAATTAATTCCTGAATCCTAGTAAGAGTTTTTTGTTACAGTGTTATTGATCTCAGTGTTCACTGTGCAGGAAAGTCATCTGTGTATTTGAATTGTAAGCA